GGAAGGAAGGAAGGAAGGAAGGAAGGAAGGAAGGAAGGAAGGAAGGAAGGAGGGAGGGAAGGAAGGAAGGAAGAAAGTTATCGATTTTGCCACATAGGAGCAACACTGATTCCCTTAGGAGGTAACAAACACAATAGTTGTTTTAAACGATGGAAATGGAAGTGCTGCACCCTCCCAGCCAAGTTAGGTTACACATACATACCCCCACACACACACACTCACACACACACACTCACACACACACTCACACATACACACTCACACACACACACACACACTCATTCACACACACACTCATTCACACACACAAACTCACACACACACACTCACACCCACACACACACTCATTCACACACACAAACTCACACACACATTCTCACACACTCACACCCACACACTCACACATACACACTCACACCCACACAAACACACACTCACACACACACATACACACTCACACCCACACACACACTCACACACACTCACACACACACTCACACACACACACACTCATGCAAAAAAAAAAAAAAGTTTTTTTAAAAAGGCCACACAACGTGCAGCACGGGTGTGTGACGCCCACACAGACGTACCAGACTGGAAGGCCAGCATCACTGTGTAGACCAGGAAGAGCAAGCAGTAGTTGATAAAACTCTGAAGCATGGGCGTGTTCACTCTGTACTTCTCTGCCAAATACTGGCTGGTGATGGCCGTCCCACAGATGCACAAGGACAGCATCTGGCCCAGAACTATGGTCTTCAAAATATCCCTAGAAAACAAGGAACTGGATTCACCCGGAAGACCCTGTGACCCACACAGGCACACGCTCTCTGCTACACACACAGAACGAATCATTCTGCCTCGTTCTAACGATCGTTCTAAATAGTTATTGATTTCGTCACGTCCACGTGTAGGGCATGTCCTGGGGTGGGTCTGCATGTCTGTGTGTGTCTGCTCACGACTCTGGGTGTCCGCCGTCCCGTCGCAACGCTGAGAGGCAGGGCTGCTTTAGCGTCTCGCCACCCGCACGCTTCCGGCCTACAAGCCGCAGATTCCCGTCCCCACCCCCATCCCGGGGCAGACTCACGGGATACGGGGTCCACGGCCAGCCTCACGGGGGTTCTGGAAATGTGAACGCGTCCTTGCCCTTGCAGAGCAAGCACCAAGCCCCTCCTTGGTTCACGCTCTTTAGGGGCGCGCTCCTCTGGCCCAGGCCGGGTGTGCTCGCCCGGCAGTGGGTAACCACTTTGAACGCCAGGTACTACCAGACACAGTTCATGGCGTGCTAGAAACTGAACGCAGAGCTGCAGCCGTGCCAGGCGGGCATATCCCAAGCCTCTTGGTTTCATCTTGCTGCTTACTTCACGAGCACAAGAGTTGAATTAATAGAGTTTGGAAGATTCTGTTTTTATTCTCTTTTATTTTTTTCGTACTCCCATTTCCAACAAGGCCTTTCCATCCACTGGCCATCCATTAAACATTTATTTCACTTACTTTAGCTCTCCACGTACTCCTGGGTGTGAGGTGGCAGTGTATCATGCATGTGTTCCTACCTGTACACGCGCACACATGTTAATTTTTTTTCTTTCTTTCTTTTTGTTGTTGTCCTTTTGTTTTTTTCCAAGACAGGGTTTCTCTGTGTAGCCTTGGCTATCCTGAAACTCACCCTGTAGACCAAGCTGGCTTTGAACTCAGAGATCTACTTGCTTCTGCCTCCCAAGGTCTGGGACTACCACCTGGCAAAGTGTAAAACAATTTTAAAGGAGTAAAAAAAGAGGAAGTGCCAGCAAAATTGCTCAGTGTGTAAAGAGTCTTGCTACCGAACCTGATGACTTGAGTTCAATTCCCAGGCCCCACTTGGTCAAAGGAGACCAGAACCCCAAAAGCTGTCCTCTGACCTCCACTCTCACGGCGTGGCCATCATGCCCCTGCCCCGTACATACACATGCAATACAGAAATAAATATTTAAGTAGAAGGAGAATGAGGCAGGAGGAACACCCACAGGGTCAAAGTCTAAGCTACAAAATGAGTTTCAAGTGCTACACAGTGAGGCCCTGTCTAAATAAACGAGTAAATAAAAAGGGGAGGAAAGGGGCGGGGACAGAGTTTGGGAAGCAGGCAGCAGTGGAGGAAGACAAGACGTGTAATTTTTAAAGAGTTAGGAAAACTGACATTTGTTTGGAAGGGAAGTAGAAGAAAGCAAGGGTAAAACTTCTGACTGACAAGAAATTTAAGAGACACAGAAGACAGGTCTTTAAAGGGACTAGCTAAAGAACCAGACCTGAGTATACTTCGATGTTAACTTGAAATGCCCTCAAAATCAGTGTGTGTGTGTGTGTGTGTGTGTGTGTGTGTGTGTGTGTGCAGCAGAATTTGAGAAAGGGTTTCACTATGTAGCTCTGGCTGTCCTGGAACTCACTCTATAGACCATGCTAACATGGATCTCTGAGATCCCCCTGCCTCTGCCTTTTGAGCGCTGGGATAAAGGCGTGCGTCCCCGCACATGGCTTAAATCAATGCTTTTTAAACTTAAATCATTGACATAAGATTCCAATTCACTATGAAATGAAGCGGAGAATCAGCCTAACTTGTCAGTCTTCCCCCGGCTGCACACGAAGATTAACGGGAGGGCCGCTTCAACGGGCAAATCTTGGGTAATCTGTAGTGCCTCAAAAATAAACGAGCAGATATCACACTAAAATCAAAGGCTGAATCGTTTAAAAACATGCAGCCATGGACAAACTGTGAAGGTGTGGAAGAATTTTAAATATTTTATTACATTTATTTAGTGTGTGCGCGCGCGCATGCTCACTCCAGCACCTCTGGGGTCACAGAATAACTTGCAGGAATCTGGTCTCTCCTACCACGTGAATCCTGAAGGCTAAATTCAAGCCACTCAGTTTGGCAGCAAGCACCTTTATCTAGTGAGCCCTCTCATCGGCCCCTGAGATTTTTTTTTTTTTTAATATTGACTGTTGGGTTTTGTGGGTGTGGCCTAGTTGTGCAGTGTTCCAGCAACGGAGCAAGGGGCTCTGTGTTTCTCTGTGGTTTGTTTGGTTGGTTAGTTGACAGGATTTCTGTGTAGCCTTGGCAAACCAGGCTGGCCTTGAACTCTGAGGTTCACCTGCCTCTGCAGGGATCAGAGGTGTGCACCACCAAGCCCGGCTCAGTAACCCTTTCCTAACTTTCCTGAGGCACCCTCTCTCTCCCCCCAAGCCCAGTCTACAGTCTCTTTCTAGATTCTGATCTAATGGAATAATTCCCTGTCTAAAGCCTTAAGTGGTTCCCCTCTGCCCTCATGTAAGAGCCCAACTTAAAAACGGCTGACGGGGCCACCAATGTCTGACCTCTGCATCTGGCTCTGGTTAAATCTGGAAGTGTTTTTCTACATAGCTTAGTTAATAGTCAATTTTTCTGGATTTTTTTCCCCTCTCTTTTCCCCCAAGACAGGACTTATGTAGCCCAGGCTGGCCTCAAACACACTATTCTATAGATGCCCTTGAGTTTCTGATCCTCCTGCCTCTACTCCCCAGCACTGGAATTACAGGCAAGCAGCGCTGTGTGCAGCCTCGGGGATAGAACTCAGGGATTCAGGAATGTCAGGCCAGCATTCCAGCAGCTGAGCCTCAACTGCTAAAATGTCTGACTGGACACGGTCCACATATAGCAAAGGTTTCTGCGGGGTATTGGTTCCAGGCCCTGCCACAGAGGTCAAACTCAATAAAGGCTGGGGATCTTTTGTAAAATAGTGTAACGGCCTCCCACGTGTTAAGTCACGTGATCCAGAATGCCTAAAGCAATATCAGTGCTGTGTGACTAATTGCTGGAATGTGCTTTTCAGGGTCTTAAGTCAGGCAATCCGCACATGCTCAGTATAGGTTCGATCCTTAAAATATTAGCGCCACCAACAACAACCCCTTCTTTATTCTCCCCAATTATTGGAACTTTCTAACAGGTAAGTACTTTCCAGAACTTGCTATTTATTATTTTTATTCTGTTCAAGTAGCATTCGTGTATCTCCAGCAGTAAACTGTAACTTCCTCTCTTGTTCAACGTTGTTTGACAAAATTCTCCATGTTAACCCTTTACTTCCAGCTGTTTCCTTTCCACCACTGTATAGTATTTTCCTGTGTGACTTTATCACACTCTATTCTTTTGTTGAAGGATATTTAGGTTAAGTTCCAATTTTTTGTTGTTCCTGTTTTTATAAAGAAGAGCATCTGTGCATAGGTTTCCTAACCACATATCTGGTTTTGCTTTCTTTTTTAGCAGTGGTGCAAACAGTTCACAGATATGCTGAGAGAGACTCTCCTCACACTCGGGGTTGTCTGTTGAGGGCTGAGGCTTCTGAGAGCTAGTGCCCCATGGTAGCTTACTGTTTGTGTCATAGAGCTTCAAGCGGTCACTGTAAAGGAGACACTAGCGATAGAAGCATCTTCCATTGCACTGCTTTTTTGATTCCTCTCCAAAAGTTAAGTCTTCCCTGTAGAACTGAAGAAATCTACACCCTTCAAGAAGGAAGAATGATGTCAGGAACTAGCCAGTCCACACCTGACTGTTTTCACCAAGATGAACATGGAATTGAAACTGTTCTCGCAGGAGATATGGAACAGGGCTCCAGACCTTAGCACAACTTACTCCATGATGGAAGTGCTATTCAGGCTGTAAAGTTCAACACTACCTGCAAAACTGAAATCAAAGGCCTAATCCATCAAAGCCCATAGTTCTGGGAAAGTCTCTAAATGTACTAACCTTGCCTTTTAACTTCTGTTGTTTTGCTTCTTGTTAAATGAACTATGTCAACCCAGGACATAGTTTTTGTGCTCAAAAGCTCACCCTGAGAAAGGCTGTGGGCTACACTGGGATCTCAAACACCCAATGTAGTTGGCAGGCTAATAAAGACCTTCTATTAGCTTAAACCCATGTCCAAGCACCGTTCTCTGGTGAATCACCCACAACACACGACTATTTTCTAGGCATTTCACTACCACAGGCCAAGGCAAGAGAAGCTACTTTTCCCCATGTGAGCCTGGCAGGAGGTCCCACCCAGACAAAAGCAACAGTGAATGGCAACAGCAGGTGAAACCTCAAATCCCCTTAGGTCTTAGGTCCTATGTACCACTGGCAAGTGAGGTCATCCTGCCAGTTAATGCCTCCCCAAATCTGTATCTTCTTTTCACTCCTCCTGGCTTCTCTCTCTCTCTCCACCCTCCTCCTCTCCACCAGGTACCGTAACACAGCTTATATTAGAAGACCTCTTCTTCAAAGTCCTACCCAAGTCTGGCCTCTCTCCTCCCATCACACGCCTTCCTTGAGCAAAACCAGCAAGTTGGGTATTCACAGTAGAAAGCACAGAAAATCCAGTCAAGCCCTGGGAAACTAATCCTACCCAGAGTGTGGCCCATATCCCATAATGAACTTGAAAGCAATGATGAATGTGAAATAAGGGAGACTAAGAACCATGGAGGCGCCGAGTCCTCTCCACAAGTTGGCAGAATTCCTCCAGCCAGCTCATTTTTGTAGTCTACAAAAGCACAATTAAACAAATTATCCTCCAACCGTAAAAGCCAACTGCCTCTGAGAGAGAGAGAGAAAGAGAGAGAGAGAGAGAGATTCAAATTGAATTGAAGATTTAAAGTTACAGCAATGCACCTCTCCTGGCTCTAAATCCCAATGACCTCATCTATAATGGAAGGGGGAGGGGCCTGAAGAGAGGCAGAGGTTTAAGAAAGAAAGGGGAATCCTGGAAGGCCTCAGAACGGTGTCAG